TCACTCACTCACTCACCACATCACTCACTCACTCACCACGTCACTCACCACATCACTCACCACGTCACTCACCACATCTATCACCACATCACTCACCACGTCACTCACCACGTCACTCACCACGTCACTCACCACGTCACTCACCACGTCACTCACCAGGTTATTCACTCACCACATCACTCACCACATCACTCACCACGTCACTCACCACGTCACTCACTCACTCACCACGTCACTCACCACGTCACTCACCACGTCACTCACCACGTCACTCACCACGTCACTCACCACGTCACTCACCAGCTCACCACGTCACTCACCACGTCACTCACCACGTCACTCACCACGTCACTCACCACGTCACTCACCACGTCACTCACCAGGTTACTCACTCACCACGTCACTCACCACGTCACTCACCACGTCACTCACCACGTCACTCACCACGTTACTCACCACATCACTCACCACGTCACTCACCACATCACTCACCACATCACTCACCACGTCACTCACCACGTCACTCACCACGTCACTCACCACGTCACTCACCAGCTCACCACATCACTCACCACGTCACTCACCACGTCACTCACCACGTCACTCACCACGTCACTCACCACGTCACTCACCACGTCACTCACTCACTCACCACGTCACTCACCACGTCACTCACCACGTCACTCACCAGGTTACTCACTCACCACGTCACTCACCACATCACTCACCACATCACTCACCACGTCACTCACCACGTCACTCACTCACCACGTCACTCACCACATCACTCACCACGTTACTCACTCACTCAGTCACTCACTCACTCACTCACCACGTCACTCACTCACCACGTTACTCACCACGTCACTCACCACGTCACTCACCGCGTCACTCACCGCGTCACTCACCGCGTCACTCACCACGTCACTCACCACGTCACTCACCACGTCACTCACCACGTCACTCACCACGTCACTCACTCAGTCACTCACTCACCACGTCACTCACCACGTCACTCACCACGTCACTCACTCACCACATCACTCACCACGTCACTCACCACGTCACTCACCACGTCACTCACCACGTCACTCACCACGTCACTCACCACGTCACTCACCACGTCACTCACCACGTCACTCACCACATCACTCACTCACCACGTCACTCACCACATCACTCACCACGTCACTCACTCACCCACTCACTCACCACATCACTCACCACGTTACTCACTCACCACGTCACTCACCACGTCACTCACCACGTCACTCACCACGTCACTCACCACATCACTCACCACATCACTCACCACGTCACTCACCACGTCACTCACCACGTCACTCACTCACTCACCACGTCACTCACCACGTCCCTCACCACGTCACTCACCACGTCACTCACCACGTCACTCACCACGTCACTCACCACATCACTCACCACGTCACTCACCACGTCACTCACCACGTCACTCACCACGTCACTCACCACGTCACTCACCACGTCACTCACCACGTCACTCACCACGTCACTCACCACGTCACTCACTCACTCACTCACCACGTCACTCACCACGTCACTCACCACGTTACTCACTCACTACGTCACTCACCACATCACTCACCACGTTACTCACTCACTCAGTCACTCACTCACCACGTCACTCACTCACTCACTCACGACATCACTCACTCACTCACCACGTCACTCACCACGTCACTCACCACATCACTCACTCACTCAGTCACTCACTCACCACGTCACTCACCACGTCACTCACCACGTCACTCACTCACCACGTCACTCACCAGGTTGCTCACCACGTCACTCACCACATCACTCACTCACCACGTCACTCACCACGTCACTCACCACGTCACTCACCACGTCACTTACCACGTCACTCACCACGTCACTCACTCACCACGTCACTCACCACATCACTCACTCACCACGTCACTCACCACATCACTCACTCACCACGTCACTCACTCACCACGTCACTCACCACGTCACTCACCACGTCACTCACCACGTCACTCACTCACCACGTCACTCACTCACCACGTCACTCACCACGTTACTCACTCACCACATTACTCACCACATCATTCACCACATTACTCAACCACACACTCACCCATCCACTCACTCACTCACCCACCTACCCACTCACCCACCCACCCACCCACTCACCCACCCACTCACTCACCCACTCACCCACCCACTCACCCACTCACTCACCAACTCACTCACCCACTCACTCACCAACCCACCCACTCACTCACCCACTCACCCACTCACTCACCCACTCACCCACTCACTCAATCACCAACCCACTCACCCACCCACTCACTCACCAACCCACCCACTCACCCACCCACTCACTCACCCACCCACCCACCCACTCACCCACTCACCCACCCACTCACCCACCCACTCACTCACCCACCAACCCACCCACTCACTCACCCACCCACTCACCCACCCACCAACCCACCAACCAACCCACCCACTCACTCACCCACCAACCCACCCACTCACCCACCCGCTCACCCACCCACTCACTCACCCACCTACCCACCCACTCACCCACTCACCCACCCACCCACTCACCCACCCACTCACTCACCCACTCACCCACCCACCCACCCACTCACTCACTCACCCACCCACCCACCCACCTACCCACCCACCCACCCACCCTCTCTCTCTGTGTCTCTCCCCAGACCACCCGTTTTTTGTGGGGGTCCAGTTCCACCCCGAGTTCACCTCCAGACCCATGTCTCCTTCTCCCGTCTACCTGGGTCTACTGCTCAGCGCCGCTGGCAAGCTCCAGAGCTTCCTGCAGAGGGGTTGCAGATTGTCTCCACGGTACGTGCCTGGGGGAGTGACTGGGGAGTGACTGGGGAGTGACTGGGGGACTGGGTGACTGGGGGAGTGACTGGGGAGTGATTGGGGGAGTGGGTGACTGGGGGAGTGACTGGGTGACTGTCTCCACGGTATGTGCCTGGGGGAGTGACTGGGGAGTGACTGGGGAGTGACTGGGGGAGTGGGTGACTGGGGGAGTGACTGGGTGACTGGGGGAGTGGGTGACTGGGGGAGTGACTGGGGAGTGATTGGGGGAGTGGGTGACTGGGGGAGTGACTGGGTGACTGTCTCCACGGTACGTGCCTGGGGGAGTGACTGGGGAGTGACTGGGGGAGTGGGTGACTGGGGGAGTGACTGGGGAGTGACTGGGGAGTGACTGGGGAGTGACTGGGGGAGTGGGTGACTGGGGGTGTGACTGGGTGACTGGGGGAGTGGGTGACTGGGGGAGTGACTGGGTGACTGTCTCCACGGTACGTGCCTGGGGGAGTGACTGGGGAGTGACTGGGGGAGTGGGTGACTGGGGGAGTGACTGGGGAGTGACTGGGGGAGTGACTGGGTGACTGTCTCCACGGTACGTGCCTGGGGGAGTGACTGGGGAGTGACTGGGGAGTGACTGGGTGAGTGACTGGGGGAGTGACTGGGGGAGGGACTGGGGAGTGACTGGGTGACTGGGGGAGTGACTGGGTGACTGGGGGAGTGACTGGGGAGTGACTGACTGGGGGAGTGACTGGGTGACTGTCTCCACGGTACGTGGCTGGGGGAGTGACTGGGGAGTGACTGGGGGAGTGACTGGGGGAGTGACTGGGGGAGTGACTGGGGGAGTGGGTGACTGGGGGAGTGACTGGGTGACTGTCTCCACGGTACGTGCCTGGGGGAGTGACTGGGGAGTGACTGGGGAGTGACTGGGTGAGTGACTGGGGGAGTGGGTGACTGGGGGAGTGACTGGGGGAGTGACTGGGTGATTGTCTCCACGGTACGTGGCTGGGGGAGTGACTGGGGAGTGACTGGGGAGTGACTGACTGGGAGAGTGACTGGGTGACTAGGGGAGTGACTGGGTGACTGTCTCCACGGTACGTGCCTGGGGGAGTGACTGGGGAGTGACTGGGGGAGTGACTGGGTGACTGGGGAGTGACTGGGGAGTGACTGGGGGAGTGACTGGGTGATTGTCTCCACGGTACGTGCCTGGGGGAGTGACTGGGGAGTGACTGGGTGACTGGGGAGTGACTGGGGGAGTGGGTGACTGGGGGAGTGACTGGGTGATTGTCTCCACGGTACGTGGCTGGGGGAGTGACTGGGGAGTGACTGGGGAGTGACTGGGGGAGTGACTGGGGAGTGACTGGGGAGTGGGTGACTGGGGGAGTGACTGGGTGATTGTCTCCACGGTACGTGCCTGGGGGAGTGACTGGGGAGTGACTGGGGAGTGACTGGCTTGGGAGTGACTGGGTGACTGGGGGAGTGACTGGGGGAGTGGGTGACTGGGGGAGTGACTGGGTGACTGGGGGAGTGACTGGGTGACTGTCTCCACGGTACGTGCCTGGGGGAGTGACTGGGGAGTGACTGACTGGGGGAGTGACTGGGGGAGTGACTGGGGGAGTGACTGGGTGATTGTCTCCATGGTACGTGCCTGGGGGAGGGACTGGGGAGTGACTGGGGGAGTGACTGGGTGACTGGGGGAGTGACTGGGGAGTGACTGGGTGACTGGGGGAGTGACTGGGGAGTTAATGGGGGAGTGACTGGGGAGTGACTGGGGAGTGACTGGGGAGTGACTGGGTGACTGTCTCCACGGTACGTGTCTGGGGGAGTGACTGGGGAGTGACTGGGGAGTGGCTGGGTGACTGGGGAGTGACTGGGGGAGTGGGTGACTGGGGGAGTGACTGGGGGAGTGACTGGGTGACTGTCTCCACGGTACGTGCCTGGGGGAGTGACTGGGGAGTGACTGGGTGACTGGGGAGTGACTGGGGGAGTGGGTGACTGGGGGAGTGACTGGGGGAGTGACTGGGTGACTGGGGGAGTGACTGGGGGAGTGACTGGGTGAGTGGGGGAGTGACTGGGTGAGTGGGGGAGTGACTGTGTGGCTGGGGGAGTGACTGTGTGGCTGGGGGAGTGACTGGGTGGCTGGGGGAGTGACTGGGTGGCTGGGGGAGTGACTGTCTCCCCGGTACGTGCCTGGGGGAGTGACTGGGGAGTGACTGGGGAGTGACTGGGTGACTGGGGGAGTGACTGGGTGACTGGGGGAGTGACTGACTGGGTGAGTGACTGACTGGGTGAGTGACTGACTGGGTGAGTGACTGACTGGGTGAGTGACTGACTGGGTGAGTGACTGGGGGAGTGACTGGCTGGGGGAGTGCCTGGGTGACTGGGGGACTGGGGGAGTGACTGGGTGACTGGGGGAGTGACTGGGTGACTGGGGGAGTGACTGGGTGACTGGGGGAGTGACTGGGTGACTGGGGGAGTGACTGGGTGACTGGGGGAGTGACTGACTGGGGAGTGACTGGGTGACTGGGGGAGTGACTGGGTGACTGGGGGAGTGACTGGGGAAGTGACTGGGTGACTGGGGGAGTGACTGACTGGGTAACTGTCCCCCCGGTACGTGTCTGGGAGAGTGACTGGGGGAGTGACTGGGGGAGTGACTGGGGGAGTGACTGGGGGAGTGACTGGGGGAGTGACTGGGGGAGTGGCTGGGGGAGTGGCTGGGGGAGTGGCTGGCTGGGGGAGTGACTGGCTGGGGGAGTGACTGGCTGGGGGAGTGACTGGCTGGGGGAGTGAGTGACTAGTTGAGTGACTCCCCACGTGACTAGGGATGACTACTCTGACGTCAGCGACGATGGGGACTCTCTGTGAGTGACTGAGTGAGTGACTGAGTGACTAACTGAGTGACTGACTGACTGAGTGAGTGAGTGACTGACTGAGTGACTAACTAACTGCTTGAGTGACTCCCCACGTGACTAACTGAGTGAGTGACTAACTGAGTGACTAACTGAGTGACTAACTGAGTGACTAACTGAGTGACTAACTGAGTGACTAACTGAGTGACTGAGTGAGTGACTAAGTGACTGAGTGAGTGACTGAGTGAGTGACTGAGTGAGTGGTGAGTGAGTGGGTGAGTGAGTGGGTGAGTGAGTGAGTGGTGAGTGAGTGGTGAGTGAGTGGTGAGTGGTGAGTGAGTGGTGAGTGAGAGGTGAGTGAGTGGTGAGTGAGTGGGTGAGTGAGTGAGTGGTGAGTGAGTGGTGAGTGGTGAGTGAGTGGGTGAGTGAGTGGTGAGTGAGTGGTGAGTGAGTGGTGAGTGGGTGAGTGAGTGGTGAGTGAGTGGTGAGTGAGTGGTGAGTGAGTGGTGAGTGGTGAGTGAGTGGTGAGTGAGTGGTGAGTGAGTGGTGAGTGAGTGGTGAGTGAGTGGTGAGTGGTGAGTGAGTGGTGAGTGAGTGGTGAGTGAGTGGTGAGTGAGTGGTGAGTGGTGAGTGAGTGGTGAGTGAGTGGTGAGTGAGTGAGTGAGTGGTGAGTGAGTGGTGAGTGAGTGGTGAGTGAGTGGTGAGTGAGTGGTGAGTGAGTGGTGAGTGAGTGGTGAGTGAGTGGTGAGTGGTGAGTGAGTGGTGAGTGAGTGGTGAGTGAGTGGTGAGTGAGTGAGTGAGTGGTGAGTGAGTGACTGAGTGACTCCCCACGTGACTAACTAACTGAGTGAGTGACTGAGTGAGTGAGTGACTAACTGAGTGACTTCCCACATGACTGAGTGACTAGCTGAGTGAGTGAGTGACTAGTCGAGTGACTCCCCACATGACTAGGGACGACTACTCTAACGTCAGCGACGATGGGGACTCTCTGTGAGTGACTGAGTGACTAACTGAGTGACTGAGTGACTAACTGAGTGACTAACTGAGTGACTAACTAACTGAGTGACTAACTGAGTGACTCCCCACGTGACTAGGGACGACTACTCTGACGTCAGCGACGATGGTGACTCTCTGTGAGTGAGTGACTGAGTGAGTGACTGAGTGAGTGAGTGACTGAGTGAGTGACTGAGTGAGTGACTGAGTGACTAACTGAGTGACTAACTGACTAACTAACTGAGTGACTAACTGAGTGACTAACTGAGTGACTAACTGAGTGACTAACTAACTGAGTGACTAACTGAGTGACTCCCCACGTGACTAGGGACGACTACTCTGACGTCAGCGACGATGGGGACCCTCTGTGAGTGACTGAGTGAGTGAGTGACTGAGTGAGTGACTGAGTGAGTGACTGAGTGACTAACTGAGTGACTAACTGCTTGAGTGACTCCCCACGTGACTAACTGACTGAGTGACTAACTGAGTGACTAACTGAGTGACTAACTGAGTGACTAACTAACTAACTGAGTGACTAACTGACTAACTAACTGAGTGACTAACTGAGTGACTAACTGAGTGACTAACTAACTAACTGAGTGACTAACTGACTAACTAACTGAGTGACTAACTGAGTGACTAACTGAGTGACTAACTGAGTGAGTGACTCCCCACGTGACTAGGGACGACTACTCTGACGTCAGCGACGATGGGGACTCTCTGTGAGTGACTGAGTGACTGACTGAGTGACTAGCTGAGTGACTGAGTGACTAACTGAGTGAGTGACTGAGTGACTGACTGAGTGACTAACTGAGTGACTCCCCACGTGACTGAGTGACTAACTGAGTGACTAACTGAGTGACTAACTGAGTGACTAACTGAGTGACTAGTTGAGTGACTAACTGAGTGACTCCCCACGTGACTAGGGACGACTACTCTGACGTCAGCGACGATGGGGACTCTCTTTGAGTGACTGAGTGAGTGACTGAGTGAGTGACTGAGTGACTAACTGAGTGACTAACTAAGTGAGTGAGTGACTGAGTGAGTGACTGAGTGACTAGTTGACTGACTAGCTGAGTGACTAGCTGACTGAGTGACTCCCCACGTGACTGAGTGACTAACTGAGTGACTAACTAACTAACTGAGTGACTAACTAACTAACTAACTGAGTGACTAACTAACTAACTAACTGAGTGACTAACTAACTAACTAACTGAGTGACTAACTGACTGAGTGACTCCCCACGTGACTAGGGACGACTACTCTGACGTCAGCGACGATGGGGACTCTCTGTGAGTGACTAACTAACTGACTGAGTGACTAACTGAGTGACTAGCTGAGTGACTGAGTGACTAACTGAGTGAGTGAGTGACTAACTGAGTGAGTGACTCCCCACGTGACTAGGGACGACTACTCTGACGTCAGCGACGATGGGGACTCTCTGTGAGTGACTGAGTGAGTGACTGAGTGAGTGAGTGACTGAGTGAGTGACTGAGTGAGTGACTGAGTGAGTGACTGAGTGACTAACTGAGTGACTAGTTGAGTGACTGAGTGACTAACTGAGTGACTCCCCACGTGACTAGGGACGACTACTCTGACGTCAGCGACGATGGGGACTCTCTGTGAGTGAGTGAGTGACTGACTGAGTGAGTGACTGAGTGAGTGACTGAGTGAGTGACTGAGTGACTAACTGAGTGACTAACTGAGTGACTGAGTGACTAACTGAGTGAGTGAGTGACTAACTAACTGAGTGACTTCCCACGTGACTAGGGACGACTACTCTGACGTCAGCGACGATGGGGACTCTCTGTGAGTGACTGAGTGACTGAGTGAGTGACTGAGTGACTGACTGAGTGACTCCCCACGTGACTGAGTGACTAACTAACTGAGTGACTAACTAACTGAGTGACTAACTGAGTGACTAACTAACTGAGTGACTAACTGAGTGACTAACTGAGTGACTCCCCACGTGACTAGGGATGACTACTCTGACGTCAGCGACGATGGTGACTCTCTGTGAGTGACTGAGTGAGTGACTGAGTGAGTGACTGAGTGACTAGTTGAGTGACTAACTGAGTGACTGAGTGACTAACTGAGTGACTCACCACGTGACTAGGGACGACTACTCTGACGTCAGCGACGATGGGGACTCTCTGTGAGTGACTGAGTGAGTGACTGAGTGAGTGACTGAGTGACTAGTTGAGTGACTAACTGAGTGACTGAGTGACTAACTGAGTGACTCACCACGTGACTAGGGACGACTACTCTGACGTCAGCGACGATGGGGACTCTCTGTGAGTGACTGAGTGACTAACTGAGTGACTAACTAACTGAGTGAGTGACTAACTGAGTGACTAGTTGAGTGACTAACTAACTGAGTGACTAACTGAGTGACTAACTAACTGAGTGAGTGACTTCCCACGTGACTAGGGACGACTACTCTGACGTCAGCGACGATGGGGACTCTCTGTGAGTGACTGAGTGACTGAGTGAGTGACTAACTGAGTGACTAACTAACTGAGTGACTGAGTGACTAACTGAGTGACTCACCACGTGACTAGGGACGACTACTCTGACGTCAGCGACGATGGGGACTCTCTGTGAGTGACTAACTGAGTGACTAACTGAGTGACTAACTGAGTGACTAACTAACTGAGTGAGTGACTTCCCACGTGACTAGGGACGACTACTCTGACGTCAGCGACGATGGGGACTCTCTGTGAGTGACTAAGTGACTGAGTGACTAACTGAGTGACTAACTGAGTGACTAACTGAGTGACTCACCACGTGACTAGGGACGACTACTCTGACGTCAGCGACGATGGGGACTCCGACTCGGAGCTCGCCGCCCTGGGCGGAGCCACGGCGCCTAGCAACGGTCTCCCTGGCAACGGTCTCCGTGGCAACGGTCTCCCTGGCAACGGTCTCGGCGAGGTGTGACCACGGCAACTCGGGCAGCCGGCAAGCGCAGGTAACCATGGCAACCGGCGACATTGGTGGTAACCGTGGCAACTGCCAACACGGGTAACCGTGGCAACCGGCAATATTGGTAACCGGGGCAACCGGCAACACGGGTAACCAGGAAAAATAGCAGCATGGGTAACCATGTCAACCGACAACATTGGTAACCATGGCAACCAGCAACATTGGTGGTAACCATGGCAGCCACCAGCAGCACGAGGAAAAGTATGGTAACTATGGTAACAGCTAAGTAACTGGTAACCGTGGTGACTGTAACTATGGTAACCGTGGTGACTGTAACTATGGTAACCGTGACGACTGTAACTATGGTAACCGTGATGACTGTAACTATGGTAACCGTGACGACTGTAACTATGGTAACCGTGATGACTGTAACTATGGTAACCGTGGTGACTGTAACTATGGTAACCGTGGTGACTAACTATGGTAACCGTGACGACTGTAACTATGGTAACCGTGATGACTGTAACTATGGTAACCGTGGTGACTGTAACTATGGTAACCGTGACGACTGTAACTATGGTTACCGTGATGACTGTAACTATGGTAACCGTGATGACTGTAACTATGGTGACCGTGGTGACTGTAACTATGGTAACCGTGGTGACTAACTATGGTAACCGTGACGACTGTAACTATGGTAACCGTGATGACTGTAACTATGGTAACCGTGATGACTGTAACTATGGTAACCGTGACGACTGTAACTATGGTAACCGTGATGACTGTAACTATGGTAACCGTGACGACTGTAACTATGGTAACCGTGGTGACTGTAACTATGGTGACCGTGGTGACTGTAACTATGGTGACCGTGGTGACTGTAACTATGGTAACCGTGACGACTGTAACTATGGTAACCGTGATGACTGTAACTATGGTGACCGTGGTGACTGTAACTATGGTAACCGTGGTGACTGTAACTATGGTAACCGTGGTGACTGTAACTATGGTAACCGTGACGACTGTAACTATGGTAACCGTGGTGACTGTAACTATGGTGACCGTGGTGACTGTAACTATGGTAACCGTGGTGACTGTAACTATGGTGACCGTGACGACTGTAACTATGGTAACCGTGGTGACTGTAACTATGGTAACCGTGGTGACTGTAACTATGGTAACCGTGGTGACTGTAACTATGGTGACCGTGACGACTGTAACTATGGTAACCGTGGTGACTGTAACTATGGTGACCGTGGTGACTGTAACTATGGTAACCGTGGCGACTGTAACTATGGTGACCGTGGTGACTGTAACTATGGTGACCGTGGTGACTGTAACTATGGTAACCGTGACGACTGTAACTATGGTAACCGTGATGACTGTAACTATGGTGACCGTGGTGACTGTAACTATGGTAACCGTGGTGACTGTAACTATGGTAACCGTGGTGACTGTAACTATGGTAACCGTGACGACTGTAACTATGGTGACCGTGACGACTGTAACTATGGTAACCGTGGTGACTGTAACTATGGTGACCGTGGTGACTGTAACTATGGTAACCGTGACGACTGTAACTATGGTAACCGTGACGACTGTGACTATGGTGACCGTGGTGACTGTAACTATGGTAACCGTGGTGACTGTAACTATGGTAACCGTGGTGACTGTAACTATGGTAACCGTGACGACTGTAACTATGGTGACCGTGACGACTGTAACTATGGTAACCGTGGTGACTGTAACTATGGTGACCGTGGTGACTGTAACTATGGTGACCGTGGCGACTGTAACTATGGTAACCGTGGTGACTGTAACTATGGTGACCGTGGTGACTGTAACTATGGTAACCGTGACGACTGTAACTATGGTTACCGTGATGACTGTAACTATGGTAACCGTGATGACTGTAACTATGGTGACCGTGGTGACTGTAACTATGGTAACCGTGGTGACTAACTATGGTAACCGTGACGACTGTAACTATGGTAACCGTGATGACTGTAACTATGGTAACCGTGATGACTGTAACTATGGTAACCGTGACGACTGTAACTATGGTAACCGTGATGACTGTAACTATGGTGACCGTGGTGACTGTAACTATGGTAACCGTGGTGACTGTAACTATGGTAACCGTGGTGACTGTAACTATGGTAACCGTGACGACTGTAACTATGGTTACCGTGATGACTGTAACTATGGTAACCGTGATGACTGTAACTATGGTGACCGTGGTGACTGTAACTATGGTAACCGTGGTGACTAACTATGGTAACCGTGACGACTGTAACTATGGTAACCGTGATGACTGTAACTATGGTAACCGTGATGACTGTAACTATGGTAACCGTGACGACTGTAACTATGGTAACCGTGATGACTGTAACTATGGTGACCGTGGTGACTGTAACTATGGTAACCGTGGTGACTGTAACTATGGTAACCGTGGTGACTGTAACTATGGTAACCGTGGTGACTGTAACTATGGTAACCGTGACGACTGTAACTATGGTAACCGTGGTGACTGTAACTATGGTAACCGTGGTGACTGTAACTGTGGTGACTGTAACTATGGTAACCGTGTGTGTGTCTGCTTAGGGCAGCTACTGCATTGACAAGAACGAAGAACCACAACAACCACAACAACCACTACAACCACTACAACCACCACAACTACTACGACCACAACAACAACAACCACAACAACAACAACAACCACTACAACCACCACAACTACTACAACCACAACAACAATAACCACAACAACTACCACAACAACCACCTCAACCACAACAACCACAACAACAACCACAACAACCACCACTACCACAACAACAACCACAACAATAACCACCACAACAACCACAACCACAACAACCACAACAACAACAACCACAACAACAACCACCACAACAACACCACCACAACAACCACCACAACAACCACAACAACAACCACCACAACAACAACCACCACAACAACCACCACAACAACCACAACAACAACCACCACAACAACCACAACAACAACCACAACAACAACCACAACAACACAACTACTACAACAACAACCACCACAACCACCACAACGACAACAACCACAACCACCACAACAACAACCACAACAACAACCACAACAACAATAACAACAACCACCACAACCACCACAACAATAACAACAACAACCACCACAACAACCACAACCACAACAACAACACAACTACTACAACCACAACAACCACAACAACAACAACCACAACAACAACCACAACAACCACAACAACAACCACAACAACAACCACAACAACCACAACAATAACAACAACCACAACAACAACCACCACAACAACCACAACAACAACCACAACAACAACCACAACAACAACCACAACAACAACCACAACAACAACACAACTACTACAACCACAACAACCACAACAACAACCACAACAACAACACAACTACTACAACCACAACAACCACAACAACAACAACCACAACTACAAACACAACAACAACAACAACAACCACAAACAACAACCACAACAACAACCACAACAACCACAACAACAACCACAACAACCACAACAACCACCACAACAACAACCACAACAACAACCACCACAACAATAACAACAACCACAACAACAACAACCACAACAACAACCACAACAACAACCACAACAACAACCACAACAACAACAACCACAACAACAACCACAACAACAACCACAACAACAACCACAACAACAACCACAACAACAACAACAACCACAACAACACAACTACCACAACCACAACAACCACAACAACAACAACAACACAACTACTACAACCACAACAACCACAACAACAACAACCACAACAACAACACAACTACTACAACCACAACAACAACAACAACAACCACAACTACAAACACAACAACAACCACAACAACAACAACCACAAACAACAACCACAACAACAACCACAACAACCACAAACAACAACCACAACAACAACCACAACAACAACCACAACAACAACCACAACAACAACCACCACAACAATAACAACAACCACAACAATAACAACAACCACAACAACAACAACCACAACAACAACCACAACAACAACAACCACAACAACCACAACAACAACCACCACAACAACCACAACAACAACCACAACAACCACAACAACAACCACAACAACACAACTACTACAACCACAACAACCACAACCACAACAACCACAACCACAACAACCACAACAACAACACAACTACTACAACCACAACAACCACAACAACAACAACCACAACTACAAACACAACAACAACCACAACAACAACCACAAACAACAACCACAACAACAACCACAACAACCACAAGCAACAACAACCACAACAACAACCACAACAACAACAACAACCACAACAACAACCACAACAACCACAACATCAGCAACAACCACAACAATAGCCACAGCAACAACAACCACAACAACAAATACAACAACAACAACAATAGCCACAGCAACAACAACCACAACAACAAATACAACAACAATAGCCACAGCAACAACAACCACAACAACAAATACAACAACAACAACAATAGCCACAACAACAACAACGACCACAACAACCACAACAACAACCACAACTACAAACACAACTACAAGAACCACAACAACCATAACAACAACTAACACAACCACAACAACAACAATAGCCACAACAACCACCATTACCACCGCCACCACGTATGGAGAGATTAATGGATTGTTTATTTTTGGTTTAAAAGTTAAACTTGAGATTTGATGTTACGATGGTAACCACTCACCACTCTCACTCACCCACTCACCCACTCACTCACCCACTCACTCACTCACCCACTCACTCACTCACTCACCCACCCACTCACTCACCCACTCACTCACCCACTCACTCACTCACACACTCACTCACACACTCACTCACTCACCCACTCACTCACCCACTCACTCACCCACTCAATCACCCACTCACTCACTCACCCACTCACTCACTCACCACTCACTCACCCACTCACTCACCCACTCACCCACCCACCCACTCACCCACCCACCCACTCACTCACTCACCACTTACTCACCCACTCAATCACCCACTCAATCACCCACTCACCCACTCACTCACTCACCCACTCACTCACTCACCCACTCACTCACTCACCCACTCACTCACTCACCCACTCACCCACCCACTCACCCACCCACCCACTCACTCACCCACTCACTCACCCACTCACTCACTCACCCACTCACCCGCCCACCCACCCACTCACCCGCCCACCCACCCACTCACCCACCCACTCACCCACCCACCCACTCACCCACTCACTCACTCACCCACT